TATTTTGCTATCTACATAACAATAAAAAGATATTAAATATATATTGATTATAAAATTGTAGAAATTAGAATTGATTGGAATATAGGATTTCTAATAAATAATTTATAAGTTGAATAGAGTAGATGAGATAAAATATATTAAATGATAATAAAACTAGTTATAATAAGGAAATACATCTTTTCAAAATAGAAAATCCAGTTCTTGAGTAAATAAAGAACCATATTTAAAAATTGCATCCTTAAATAAAATAGAACTATAGTTCAATATATAAAGATGATGATGGAGATTTGATAAGCATAAGTTCAGATGAAGATTTAAAAGTTTTGATGGAGAGTGTCAAGAATTAGACAGTCAAGATTACAATAGAACCATTGGATTTACAAGCATTGTACATTTGAGAATTTAGAAGGAATCATTTGTGGAGCATGTTCTCAATATAAAGAAGGGGAACCTTTATAATAATATCCTTAATAGAATTAACAATAATATATCCCATCATATTATCCACCTCCACCCTTTATATAACCACTTTTTGGACCTCCATAACATAATCCATAATTTGGAATGATTCCTCCTTAAATGCCTCCATATTAAGGATAATTTGGATTTGGTCATCCTCCTCATCATTTGTTTGGTGGTTTTCATCATCATCATCATCACATGAAATTGCTTAAATTAAGAGAAATTATGAAGAATCCTTAACTTAAATAACAAAAAGAGAAATTATAATAGTTGTTAAAGGAAGTGAGTTAGACAATAAAAAAATACAATAGGAAATTAGTAGTAATAATAGTATTATTAGTATAATTACTGATCAATTCTATAGATATTAGTAACAATGGCAATGGAGTGATTTAGATGAATAAAGGGCAGCAAATGTAGCAGAAGTCTTATAATGCAATTAAGAATAAGCAAGAGAATATTTGATGAAATTCAGAGATCTAACATTAGATCAAATTGTTATGATGGTAGAAAATGCAGAATGATTCATTAAATATTTAATATATATGGAATTGAATATTAATTTCTATGTTAAAGCTAATTCCAGAAGGATCCTCCATTATCCAATTAAAGGGTAACTCTTTTCAGTCTTTGAATTGTTG